CCATTCTAGGTTAGTGATTGTAGTGTAATTACAAAAAGACTTGTGTTGGGCAGTTCAATTTCAAGGTTAAAAAATACTTGAAAATGCTGCTAGAATGAAAACAACGTAAAGGTCTATTGATATAAAAATGAATACGTATGAAACTTCATCAGCCTAGTAATTTTCCTAGCCAAAAAATTCTACTCGCAAGGGGCCCAATACACATCAAACCAAAAGAAGCAGTAAGCCAAAAAGAAAAGACAGGCAACCCGGAGATTGGAAAAAACATAAACTTCACACAGATGGAGAGAGTTTTTTTTTTTTCAAAAAAATAAAAAAGTAATGAGAATAAGAGTTGGCCTTGAACATGTATTTTTGAGGACTAAAAGGATTGTTAACCCAAACTACTTTGAGTCATAGCCATTGTTTTGAATCCCATACTTGCTTTTGAAAATATCGGATGTCTTTGAAGAGTACGTTTTTTAAAAGCTTTGTAAGAAAACCTGTAGCAATTTGGCTAGAAGTGCTTTATTATGGAAAATTATTCCATAATAGTCAAATCACCACGAATTTGGACTTGGAAATAGCTTTTCATTTAATCAAGCAATCTCTATTTCATTTCCTTCATCTTTCCATTTCTTTAAAAAAAGGGCTACTAAATATGATTTTAACAGTACAAGAAACCTTGTAAGGCTAAAAGGATCGATCAAGGCCAATATATACAAGAATTACTTATTAATAGAAACTACAARATAGTATCATCTCTTGTAGTTCCTTCTTCCATGTCCTGAACTCCCAGTCTTCCTCCTCTTCTTCTTCTCCTCCTCCCTTGTCCCCGAGGACCCCTTTGGTTCACCTCTATTTGGAAGATTAAAATTCCAAATAATATTAAGTTCTTTGCGTGGCAAGTCTTTTTTGGGTAAAGTCAATACCATGGATCATATTCTGAGGATGTCCTCCTTTTGTCTGGATCAGCAGTGGTGTGTTCTTTGTAGGAGAGCCTCGGAAGATCTCGACCATTTGTTGTGGAACTGTGAGTTTGCGCAGGATTTATGGCTTCGGTTCTTCAGATGTTTTGGGATTGTTTAGGTTCGCTCAAGAAGCTATAAGATGATGATGGAGGAAGTGTTGTTCTTCCCCCCTTTTCAGGACAAGGGCCGTTTTCTTTGGCAGGCGGGCTTTTTGGCTTCGCTATGGGGTATCTGGCTAGAGAGGAATAATAGATTGTTTAGGGGGTGGAAAAACGGTGGATTATGTTTGGTATCTCATTAGGTTTAATACTTCCTTATGGGGTTCGGTCACTAAGGCCTTTTGTAATTATTAATTATGTCTCATTCTTTTGGATTGGAGCCCTTTTATTTAGGGGTTCCCCTTTGTTGGGCTGTTTTTTTGTATGCCCTCGTTGTTTTTGTATGTTTTTCATTTCTGTCAATGAAAGTTCTGTTTCTTATCAAAAAAACAAAAAACAAAATAGTATCATCTCCAAGATTAAAGATGTGAGACTGCTACATGTTCCTTTCTAACAATAAAGCATCCACCAACCCCTAATAGATAATACCATCCACCTATCTACTCAAGACATGAACAACCAATGCAAACCAAAAAGGAACAAGAAGATTAGAAATATAAAGTCTATTTGAAGGAAAAGAGTATATCATTCTATTCTATATTTTACAAATTACCATGACGGAGTTATCCACTCTTCTATACTACAAGTTGAAAATTCAACGTACCAGAAGGATTAAGCATCCTTTCCATGTACAACCTTGAGAAATCACCAAAAGACTTAAAGCTGATAATTATTTTTTTATATGAAACAAATATTTCATTGATGGTATGGAATATACAAAAGACCTCATAGGCAATTACAAGAAAGCTCTCCAATTTGTAATACGATCATTTAGAGAGTAATTATTGAAAGGGGGGTAGAATAGAACAATAACTCTATCAAAAAAAATTTCAAAAGAGAGGGCTTTTTCATTGAAAACCCGATGGTTCCTTTCTAACCATAAAGACCACGAGAAAGCTCAAACCGTTTGAACCCACAGGATAGCTTTGCCTTTTCTGAAAGGATGACCCGCCAAAATACAATCAAGAAAGGTGGCTGGCTGAGAGTGGAAAGTTATTTTCCATCCAAAATCCGAGAGCAAACGTTCCAAAAGCACGTGGCGAAAGGACAAGGAATAAAGAGATGACCTTGCGTTTCTCAGATGCTCCATAACAGAGGTGACAGCAGTGTGGGGAGAGTGACATGTGAGGGTGCTTCCTCTGTATCCTGTCATATGTGTTTAAAGCCCCGTGACTTAGCTCCCAACAAAATAATTTGATTTTCTTTGGGACATTTTCCATGCCATAGGCTAATGTAAAGGGTGGGGGATGGTTGATCAAGCTGGGAGTTGAAGAGATTGAAGGCAGATTTGGTAGTGTAAGTTCCCGAAGGCTCTGGGGGCCAACCCCATTGGTCCTGGTGGGGGGAGGGGGGGGGGGCCGCGGGGCGCGGGGACAATCGGGTTGAGCAAATGGGTTAATCTCATCCAGTCATCAACCTTCTCCTCCTTGAAGGGTCTATGGAAGTTGTAGTTCCATGAACAAGTGGTTCTTGACCATTGTTCACCAATAGTGGCGCCCTTTTTTGTGGCTAGAGCAAATAAATTCAGGAAGAGAGAGGCTAATGTTCCCCGAGCTAACCATCTATCGTACGTAAAACTTATTTGGCTCTTGTCCCCCACCCGGCTCTTGTCCCGCACCTGGCAGATGGCTATGTCCATAATAAAGTTGGTTTGTAGAGTGATTAGAGTCCATGGTCCTTTATGATTTGGATGGTAATTGGTGGGCCAAAGGTTTGAGAGTGATCCATAGTATTTTATTGAGATGAGTCTCCTCCAAAGATGGTTTGGTTCGGTTAAGTAACGCCACACCCATTAAGAGAGAAAAGCACAATTTCGCTGTCTTCTGTTTCCAATTCCGAGGCCTCCCTCATTGATTGGTAGCTGTGTTCTTCTCCAATTAATGAGGTGGGGCTTGCCATTGTTGCTAGGGCCTTCCCATAAGAAATCTCTAAAGATCTTGTCCATCTTCTCCGCAATGATAGTTTGAAGAGTGATAGGTAGTAGATGGGTATATTGGTGAAGAGTGAGGACRGATTGTAGGATGGTATGTCTCCCCACCTTAGAGATGTACTAACTGCTCCACTTACAGAGTCAACTTTGAAGTTTCTCGATGATAGGCAGCCATATGGTTTCCKTTTTTGGGTTTCCATTGAGAGGTAATCCAAATAAATGCTAGGCCAAGATCCCGATGAATAGCCCCAAGCTTGTTGTTGGTGGTTTGAGTACCAAGAAGATTAGAAATATAAAGTCTATTTGAAAGAAAAGAGTATATCATTCTATTCTACATTTTACAAATTACCATGACAGAGTTATCCACTCTTCTATACTACAAGTTGAAACTTCTACATATCAAAAGGATTAAGCATCCTTCCCATGTACAACCTTGAGAAGTCCTCAAAAGACTCTTCCGAAGAAGATAAAGTTCTTAGGGTGGCAAGTCTTGCTCGGGAAAGTCAACACCTTGGATCGTATTCAGAGGATCTCTTCCGTGTGTTTAGGCCGGCAATGGTGTGTTCTGTGCAAAGGAGCCTCGGAAGACCTCGAGCATTTGTTGTGGTCTTGTCAGTTTGCCCAGAACCTTTGGCGTTGTTTCTTTGGGTGTTTTGTGGAGATGGTTAGGATCTATGTACTTCTATCCAATAACAGTTATGCCTTGAAATGAAAATAAGGCAATGGATTAATCACATTTTAATCCAGATGAGTAATTGGTGTAGTTTCATTAGAAGCAAACATTTTACCCCCTCCTTTACAATTTAGTAAAACAATGTCAGTTATTGAATCTTTCGGTTATATTTCCAGAAATAACACTTGCCCAAACCATATGCCATTTAACCACTTTGATTTTGAAAAAGATGAGAGTCTTTACTAGTCAAGTAAAATTCCCACTTAAATATGGACAATTCCAAATAGCCACTAAGTTACTCTATCAAGAGGATCAAACACACCTTTCCACAATTACGCTATGCGAATACTTATCTTCCCAATTAGATTAGCTTCAAAGAAAAATGGAAAACAGAAGCAGAGGATACTCCCAATTAAATTAACATAACATTTCAATCGAGCTGCCAGCAAAAGAACAAGAGTAAAAATTAATGGTGTGAAGCATTCAATCACAAAAGGGAAAGCAAATAACAAGCATAAAGATATTAGAATAATAACCTGAATCACCAACCACAAGCACTCGAACCTGGCCACAGAGTGGCGCCCCATTCAGTTCTTTGTTCTCCCTATCACGGTCCTTCCAGAACATGTTTTCTTCCAGACCTTCAAAACCGTATTCACCCCTGACGACCAAAAACCCAGACCCAATTCACTCCACACATTCAAAAATCAAGTACCGTCAAATTCACACAATCGCCACGAAGAACAATTTCTCACCACAGGCCCCTCCAAGTTCAATCTGAAATCCATATTACATGGCAACTAAATGCAGATCAGAGCTGAAATCAGAAACCCCATGACCAAACATCCCTCAAAAGAGTCGAATGGTCTCTTCTTTTGAGGGCCCAAAAAGCAGAGATCTAGTTCCGGAATTTGAAACTGTGAGGGCAATGAAAAACGAAGCGAGGATTTACGATCTGATGGCGGATGCCCATGCAACTGGGGATTGTGTGGGGGAGAGAGATCTGAAACTGAAGAAAACTTGAGACTGTAGTCGGCTATGGGAAGCTTGGGAAGAAGAGCAAAAGGTTGAACACCGCGCGCAAGAGAGAGAAAGAAATGAAAAGGAAACCGACGAAATGAAGTGGGGGTTAATTTGGATCAATGACCCTTTTGCAAAACGACGCTTCACCGGTTGCCTCCTTTACAATTGGAGAAATCCATTATTTAATTCATTTTAATATTCAACTCGGATCTTGGAGAATTAAAGCATCGGTGGTGAATCTGACACTAACTCGGGTTAAAACATCTAACCGTGATGGTAAAAAAATCTACGGAACTTGATCTCCACAGATATCCGATCCGATTGAGTCGAGAATCTTCGGTTTGACTGGAGATTAGGTAAACTTGAGGATCCTAATCTATGACGGGATGGGGATGGGGAGATCTCCCCACCCCGTCACCGCTCCGTTTAATATTTTATTAAATTTTATATATAATAATATTAATATATAATAATTTTTATATTTCAAATATATATATATATATATTAGTTTTTATAAATACTTTTAAATTTTTTAAAACATTGTAATTGTATTTAATTAAATTTTACACTTGAAAAAGAAAAGTTTATATATTTTAAATAATTAAAATATTTATCAATCTTTCAAAAAAATTAAAAAATAAAATAAAATATGTATATGTATAATATGTATGTGTATGTATATGTATATATATATATATGTATGTATCTGCAATTTGTGCACAAGATAGAAGATAGAAAGATCATAAGTTTCATTTGGAGAACAAGATCTCTAACAAAGTATATGTTTAATCCGACATGTTTGATGTGCGAATGTAGAATCGGGTTGGCACCGAGATGAACAGTCCTCAAGTTATCACACCATAAGACAGGAGCATGAGGAAGAACCAGTTGCAAGTCTGAGAATAGAGATTGAACCCAAATAAGATAGGTTGCAACATGAGAAAGACTTCTAAATTCCGCCTCCGTACTAGACTGAGATATGATCGACTGCTTTTTGGAAGACTAAGTGATCAAATTGCCCCCAAGATATACACAGAAACCAGAGGTAGAACGTCTATCATCGGGATCTGAAGCCCAATTCGAATCAGCATAGCCATGGAGAGTAAGTTCCTGTKGTTTATGTAATAAAAGTTCATGATCATAAGTACCTCGAAGATACCTCAGAATTYGTTTAACAGCTTTCCAATGAGTTACAGTGGGAGCATGCATGAATTGACAAACTTTATTTACACTATAAGCAAGTTYGGGTCTAGTAATAATGACATATTGAAGTGCCCCAACRGTACCCTGATATAAATGTGGGTCAGAAATTTTTTCTCCATGAACAGTAGATAACACATGCCCACTAACCATAGGAGTAGAAATCGGATTGGTAGAATGCATATTGGTCTTGTGAAAAAGATAAGAGACATATTTGGATTGGGACATAAATAAACTATCAGATGAAGGATACGACACCTCAATTTCCAAGAAGTAGCTTAAAAGACCAATATCTTTTAGGGAAAATTGACAATTCAACATAGGAAAAAGCTTCTCAATTTCAACATTTGAGCTACTCGTAATCACCATATCATCGACATATACTAACACATAAGAGTGAGATATGCTAGAGTGGCGAACTAATAATGAAGAATCTGCCCGTGATGTAGTGAATCCTTGTGAGAGTAAGAATTTACCGCTCAAACCAAGCTCTAGGAGCTTGTTTAAGGCCATATAGAGCTTTGTGTAATCGACAAACGAGTGGAACCGTGCTTTGAACTTCCATTCCAGGAGATTGAACCATGAGAACTTCCTCAGATAGCAATCCATGAAGAAAYGCGTTGTTGATATCAATCTGCCTCATAGACCACCCATTTCCAAAGCAAGAGTCAGTAAGACATGAATGGTAATTAGCTTAACAATAGGAACGAACGTTTCAGTATATGAAGGGATGTAAATCCCGCAGGGGAAACGATGAACGCATTCTTGAATTTTGAGAAACAAAACCCACAAATGAAAAAGGAAAATACAGGGGAATTGGRTATTACCTTTAATGAACAGTTCTTCAAYAAACCCAATTAACACCRCCAAACGATCTTCCTTGCTATTCTCTGGGCACGAGAATATGCTTGTGGGAGCAACGATCTTGGAAACCAAGGGAATTGAGAGAGAGAACTTGAGAGAATCAAAACAGGGGAAGTTYATGTACCTCGTTCTTGCAGAACATAAAACGAGGGACGACGTGGGGTAACTCCCTACGTCGTAACCAACCTCCCACCATCCTGCAATTAAGCAGGGGAGTGTTAATATTAATAATAATTAATATTAAACAAATTAATATTAATAATTAATAATTTATATATATAATAATTAATTAATATTTATTAATTGTTAATCTAATTAACAATTAATTAATTAATTAATCAAATAAATAAATAATTAACACTTAATTATTTATTACAAAATTAGAATTATATTCTAAAGTATTTCTCTCATATAATCTATAATCATATGTACATCTTATGTACATTATTTTTTAACCTGTAGTTTTAATATGAATCTTATTCATATTAATTTTATTTGAATCTCATTAAAAAAATTTCTCTCATAATATATARTTTTAATTTAGAATTAACTATATATTATAATGTATCAATATACATATATATAAACCCTTGAGAAATTTGAACATTTCAAATTTTTTCAAAAACTTGATCCTCSTTTACYGTTGTGAGCTAGCAAGGGGACCTAATGGACCTACAGATCAGAAGCTCCAACGATATGAGATTAATTGGTCAAACTCATTAACAGAGTTAATCAACATTCGTTAGTTACAGGTCACTCCACTAAAGACTCGCAGCTGCACTCTTCTCACTGCAGAATATTTTTGTGTCCATGGATATCCAACCATTAATGGTAAGTCAACCCTTCACGAGTGCTCGTAACTCAAGCTATGTCAAATTACTGTTTTACCCCTAAGTTACATCTTACTCCTTAAATACCACAGCTCCTCTAAAGAACAACCCGGTTATGGTCCAACCAATAACCGAAAGTCCTTCTCGGGCCAGTGAGAGGGTGAGGCCCCTTGTTCAAGTCCCGGAGTCAGCATTTAAGAGAACACTCATCTACTCCCCGAGAGTCGGGGAGGAGTGAATTTCATCTCGTGAAGTTATGTTCCCAGCTCCCCACTCGGTCTCGTCCCCAAAATGGTATGAATATTGAGTCGGTGACTCAAGCCACTCTCACCTATACAAATCAAAGGACGAGCCCTAACAGGTAGGAATCCATAACTCACTCAGGATTAAGAATGAGTTGTTTGGTCATCCTATGAAATAACAATCTATTAGTCAACGGTGTTACATCTAAAAATCGACTATTTCGTGGTCCAGTCTTATACAAACTCATTGTATAGGATACCCCCACTCACATGTCTCCACACGAACGACCTGGATCAGGTCGTCTATAACATTTACAAAGTGGGTCGTATCCATAGTGTTGTCAGGACAAGATACCCAACCTTATATATATACTATAGACCATTTAGGTTATTCCCAGGACATTATCCATTTGTATATCGAAGATATATCAAATATATACCCAATATATATACTGTTCAGTTACATTATAATAACCTTGGATGTTTAGTTTATTGGATTTAGACAATGCAATGCTATGCATTCAACAACAAATTGATTGAATAAAACTTTATTGAATATAAWTTTTTTTTTACATAAATACAAACTACAAGTTTAGGGCAACACACCCAACAGTATAGTCAATATCTGCAGCTTGATGAAAGCCCTTGGCAATCAGCCTAGCTTTATAGCGAGCAATAATACCATCCGAATTCCGTTTTATCTTGTATACCAATTTACAACYAATGATCTTTTTATCAGAAGGTTGAGGTACGAGAGACTAYGTTTGATTACGAATAAGAGCATCAAATTCTTCTTGCATCGCATTACGCCAATGAGCACATTGTAAAGCTGCCTTAACAGTGGGCAATTCCACCTTAACATAATCAGTAAAGTAAGCAAGCGGCTTGAAAATGCTATTTTTCTRTCTAGTGATCATTTGGTGGGCATTAGGAACACTAATTGGATCAGGCACAGGARACTGAGATATTTCAATACTAGTTGATGGTTCAATGTAATAATCTTGTTCAGGCATGGGGGCAAAGGAGGTTCTTGGTTAYGAGGAGAGATATCAGCCAACAGAATTGTAGTGGAGAGGACAGAAGAAGGTGGAGGTGTAGAGGAAGAGACAATTGGAGAGGCTGGTAAGATAATAGRGATATTAGAAAGACACGTGGAGTTTGGGGATACAATTTGGGTAGGAAACATCTGTAAAAAGGGAAAACATTGTTCATCAAAACGAACATGTCGAGAGATATACAACCGACCAGTGGATGCAAGACACTTGTGTTGCGACTCAACTTAATAGCTAGAGGGTAAGTGCAAGTACACACTGTCACAAGTAATAATCTTGAAATATTCCAAGTTCGTCTCACAAGTAATAATCGCGAATATGTTGGGAAACACTATTTAAAAACACAATGATTAAAAAACCAACCCCCTACTAAGATTTAGTTCTAAAAGATRAATTACACCTATCAAGTGTGCCTGTARTTAAACTCAATTTATGCAAATTGGTTCAACTTCTATTCCATACCGCTTTTGGTTTGTTTAGAAGTTTAGACTAGTGTTTACATATGTCTATGCAACTCTAGTTACCTAAATAAATCAAGTTCCAACTTACGTTTAACGAGTAAGAGAGCCTATGTCTAGGATCTTGTTTTAGTTCTAAGTAACTTCTCATTTTACCTTGATGAGATCCATTTGTATATAACCTTTAATTCAAAATTAAATTCAAACTAATATGATTTAAACAAGTGGCCAACAAGAAATCAACTAGATGAATTAGATCAATCAAGATAAGCAAAAGAGAGCGTAATACGYCATGTTCACTGATAGATGTAATTTAAATAGATGAACTAAACTCGTAGGAGGGTTGAAGAAACAATTTACCTACTCATGAAATTGAAAGAAATTAAAACACAAGAGAAGATAACAAAAGAAAGCATTTTAATTAGAATTGGAAAGAAAGTACAAAATGGAACAAATTGAATTGCAATAAAATA